GAGGCTGCAGGGTCGGGGGAGGGGTGGGCTGAGGCGCCGGGACTGGGCGGTGCCGAGCCTGGGTTGTGCCTCCGGGCCCCGCCCCAGGGTTCGAGGTGACCTCGGGCCAGTTCCTATTTGCTCCCTTGTTCTCTGGGCCTCAGCTTCCTCATCAGAGCCGGTCAGACTCAGTAATAATAATAATGGCCCACGTGTATTCAGCCGGCGCTGCCTGCATGCCAGGCCGCTGGCCGACCTCAAGCCCGCTAAAGCTCAAAACCCGGGCTGTGAGCTCTGTGTTGTCTCTGTGACCATCTAAAGAGAGGCCCAGAGAGGGGAAGTGACTTGCCCCGGGTCACACATTTGCAAGTGGTGGGACTAGGATTTCAACCGAGGCCTGCTTGGCTTCAGATCAGAACTTGTGGCTTGGTAGTGGGCATGGCTACTTGGGGAGGTGAAGGGGGGGCATCCTGGGGCCAGACTGTTGAAGAGCCTTGGAGAAAGCCCTCCTTCCTGCCCTGATGCTCGACTGCCAGCTGCAGGCCTGGGACTCTGGGGACCGGCCTGGCTGGGAGGCCTTCTCTGCAGGGCGGGGTGGCTGGGCCAGCTGCTGATTCCCCTCCCTCTGCCTGTCCTTCCATCTGCCACCCTCTCCCCTCCCAGGCTCTGGTTGCCATGGAACCTCATTAATCAGGCAGACCCCTTGAAAGTACTGGGTAGGCTGGGCCTCTGGGAGCTCGAGAGGAGGCCCCTGGTGCCCGGAGAGTAAACATCCCGAGGAGACGACTTGATAAAGTGCTCCCCGAGCAACAAGAGGTTCAAGATCAGTTCAGGTTGGGGGCCAAGAGCTGGCTGAATTACCTGGGAAGGAGGGAGTGGAGGCCTGGAGCTTGGACCTGTGGGCTGCAGGACAGGGCGTGGAGACCAGTTTGACTGGCGAAGCTTGTGGGTGAAGGTGGGGCACAGACTGGCAGGCAGGGGCAGCAGGCCAGGCTGGCTAGGGTCTCAGCAGGGGGCTTGGAGCAAGTGGGAGGGGAGAGGCAGGGCCCGGGACAAGGAGGTGGAAGCTGCTCAACTGCCGGTGGAGGCCTAGGTGGCAGCTGGTCCCTGAGGCATCCTCTAACCCCCTTGGCCCCATGCCCAGTGCTGCCTTCCTTCCGGAATCACCAAGATGCTCATAATAATAATAGTAGCACCATTGTTTTGAGACTGTTTTGTTTGTCAGGCTCTGTGCCAAGGCACGCTACCCAATTAACTCATTTAACCCTCTCAACAATGGTCCCCTTTTACAGATGGGGAAGCTGAGGCTGAGAGATGTTAGAATCTTCCCTATTATTTAGTGAGTAATTGGTGGGACCAGTCCAAATCTGAGCGGTTAACCTAACCATTGGGTGCCTTGCCTCCTAGAGATGTTAATACTAGTAAAGGAAGCCCAGGGGCCCTTCCTCCTAATGAGTGATAGTTTAGGGGTGGAGGGTGGGAGTACCAGTGGCCTGTTCCCGTTGGTACCATCTTGGGGCCTGGAATATAACTTCCGTTTAGCTGACTTGACAAGTACTCAGCAGGCCCAGGGCTATGGTTCCTGCCCTCAGGGAGCTGAATTCCTGGCTCAGAGTGACTGCCAGGAACTTGGCCAATGAAACATGCCCTCAGCTTCACCCCCAGTGGTGTCCGAGGCAGCCTCAGTGATCATTCCACTCATTCAACAGTTTTTAGTGAGCACCCATGAGGTACTAGGCACAGAGGCAAGTATGGGCCCTCTGCCCTCATAATACTTAGGGTTGGTGGGCAGGGGTGGGGCTGGCACCATCCTGGAGCTGAAGCTTTTGCCCTCTAATACCCCCAATGAGTTGCCTCCACTGACCCACTGCATTGGTGTTTCTGGGGGGGAAGTGTTTGAAACAAACTGCAGGCTCAGTTTTTACATCAGTGAACACTCATTGAGCACTTCCTGCATACCAGGCTCTGAAACTCAGCTATCTCTCCTGGACCTTCCTGTCAACCGCTACCGTGTTGTCATGGCTTTCAAAAAACAAACTAGTCTGGCTGGTGTGGTTCCGTTGGTTGGGCGTCATCCTGTGCACCCAAAGGTTGCCAGTTGGATTCCCAGTCAGGGCACATGTTCGGGTTGTGGGCTCGATCCCCAGTAGGGGGTATGCAGGAGGCAGCTGACCAATGTTTTGTTCTCATCGATGTGTCCCTCCCTTTCTCTAAAATATTAATTAAAAAGGTTTTTAAGAAACTAAATATAATACACATTTACCATAGAAAAAGAGTTAGACTAAAAAGTTGAAGGAGGCAGAATCCCAACTCCATTTTTCCTTTTCCTAAGCCTATTTTTATTTTTAGGTTGTTATGACAGTATTTTTCTAAAATTTTGAAAACTGTAGTTTTCCCTTTATTTCCATGTTCAAACAGTGCACCGCCCACACTTTGCAGATCACAATCCCCCCATGGTCCTCTCTCCCATGCATAGGTTACCCCTGAAATGCATTCTATAATAATAGAAACTGAACCAGAGAAAAAATGGCTTCATGAGCTTTTTTAATTCAAAAAAATTATATACATGCTTTGCCCTAATGTTTTTCTTGTCAGTGTCTTTGAGAGGATTCTGTGTTGACCTGCCTCCGTCTTTGACAGCTGGGTGATATTCCAGGGCCTGGGTGAACCACAGATTCTGTAGCCCCTTCCCATGGGTGGGGTTTTGAGTCATTAGATTTTTTCCCCAGTGTTCTGTGCTTTCCAGGACCCCTAGAGAACGTTGGCAGAAACGGGTGTCCATCTGCTGGAGCCCTTGTTTTAGAGTGTGGTATTGACCTGCCTTCAGGAAGAAGGCAAGGGATGCATTTGTCATCCTGCTAAGGGTTCGGGCAGCAGGGGAAAGGCTAGCGAGGGGGAACATTCTGGTTGGCTTTTGGGGGCCTGGCTCTGGGTTCTAGGGAGGCAGTACCTGTGGTGAATATTAACGTGGGCTCTGTGCCAGCCCATTACATTAAGGTTGAAATCCTGCCTCCACCTCTCACTATCTTGTGTGACCTCTTGGAGGTACTGTACAGCTCCTTGTGAAGTGGAGGTCAGGATAGCTAGCACCTGCTGCAAGTCTGGTTGGAGGGTTTGATGAGAATGCAGGTGAAGCGGTTCCTTAGTGGTGTACACAGGAAGCATCCAGCATGTGCCAGCGCTTTTACCCTGGGACACCCGGGGGAATCCCTGAATGTGTGAGAGGGAGTGTCTGGGTCCGTTAGCATGTGGGGAGGTTCAGTCAGCAGACATGGGTTGATGCCAGGGCCCGTGCAGACACTGTATAGAGATTTAGACCCGGTGCCTGCCTCTAAAGGACTCCCTGGCTTCTTGGGAAGTCAAACACATCTGTAGAAATTTGTAGCGAGAGACAATGTGGGACAAGGTTGGATTCCAGGCAGTTTGGAGGGAGGAGAGGTGCAGTCTCTATTGCAGGATCCTATAGACTTAAGTGAGGGGTAAGGTACCTGCCCTCAGGAGCAGGCGTGAAGGGCAGGGAGGAGGGAATAACCAGTATGGACTAAGGTTTGGAGGCACAGGTTTGTGAAGAAACATGTCTCAGCAGAGGTTCATGTGAAGAAGTCATAACAGATGAGGATACTAAGGTGGAGGGGGACAGATGGAGGTGGGAGACCAGTGGGGACCAGCTGAAAGGTCCAGATGGGAGGTGGTAGTTGCTCTGGTGATGGGATTTCTTGGCAAATAGAGGCCATGAGGTCAGTGGCAGGGCGAAATGAGGTTCTAGCTTGGGAAACCCCACCCCCGTCCTCCAGCTCTACATTGCCAGGGAATGCTGTGATTGGCAGAGGGGAGGAGGTACATCTGGTTTTGGATGTATTTGAGATGACTGTGAGACTTACTGGGCAATCTCCATCCTTGCGTGTGTAGCAAAATCGGAATCCTGGCTCTGCCACTTCCTGATTGCATGACCTTAGGCCTCTCTGGGTTTGGTTGCTTTATTTGTAAAATGGGGCCATATGGTGTTGCTAGTCCATAAGATGGAATGAACTACTTACTATATGCAAAGCACACGGTGAGCACCAGCTACTGCCGTGTTCATAAATAAAAACCCGAGAGGTGGTGACTTGCCCAAGGGTTCCGTATTCGACTGACTTAAAATAAACATCACACAATTTCTGTGGGTCAGAAATTCAGAGGAGACTTAGCTGGGTGCTTCTGGCTCAGGGTCTCTTTTGAGGCAGCTAAAATGTTGGCCTGGGCTCCAGTTGTCTGAAGGCAGGACTAGGGTTGGAGACTGTTTCGAAGCTCAGTCATGTTGGTGTTGGGAAGAGGCCTCAGTTCCTTGCCACTTGGGACTGTCCTTTGAGCTACTTGAGGACCAGCATGACATGGCAGCAGCCCCCCACCCTGCCCTCCAGAATGAGTGATCCAAAATAGCAAGGAGGAAGCTCTAATGGGTCTCTGATCCAGTCTCAGAAGTGACTGTATGTCACTTCTGCCACATGCAGGTCATTAGAAACATCTGGCTTCTATTTAAGGGGGGAGAATTAGGTTCCATCTTTTGAAAGGAGGGGTATCAAAAAATTTATAGAACATATTTTAAAACCACCACAAGCCCCCAGGTATAGTGGTAGAGCTGGGACTTGAACTTGGGTCTTCTGCTTTCCAGTTGAGTGGTCCATCCTGTGAGGTAGGATTGTGTCCCCTAGGATCTCCCCTAACACACAAAGGCATCCTGGTAGGGAAATTGAGATGGGGTAGCCAGGAACCTCAGCCAGGTCTCTTGTGGCCTCACTCCCCTGGGTACTGAGTATCCTCCCATTGCTTTTTGCCATAGGTAAAGCGGAGGCTGGACCTGGAAACTGACCATCAATACCTGGCTGAGAGCAGCGGGCTAGCCCGGGGCAGAGGCCGCCACCCAGGAAAAGGTACCCACAGAGCTCAGGCTAGTGCAGGCTCCCTGCCTGGGCCCAGGTTGGGGGTGTGGATAGACAAACATGCTTGCAAACTAAGTTCTGGTCTCTCAGGCCTGGGCCTGAGCCAGGCCTTTGGGGGCCCCAAAGGGCAGCTGGAGTGTCTGTCTGGCATGGTTTCCCCAGGCCCTGGGGGTGGGGAGTTCCCCAGCCTGAAGAGGAATGCTGTGGTTGGCAGGCAGCAGCCACAGGGCCTCCCTGCTTGGCCTCACCAAGGGAAGGAGCCATCTGTCAATCCCCCACCCCCATCCTCCTTCCCTACATTGCCAGGGAGGCTGGCCCAACTGGGTGTGTGGGTGGTGCTGAGGGACCCTGTCTTGCCTGTCCCCTGCCCCAGGTGTGAAATCCCCAGGGGAGAAGTCGCGCTATGAGACATCCCTGAATCTGACCACCAAACGCTTCCTGGAGCTGCTGAGCCGCTCAGCTGATGGTGTTGTCGATCTGAACTGGGCAGCTGAGGTGCTGAAGGTGCAGAAACGGCGCATCTACGACATCACCAATGTCCTGGAGGGCATTCAGCTCATCGCCAAGAAATCCAAGAACCACATCCAGTGGCTGTAGGTACCAGCCAAACAGGAGGGCAGGCAGAGGTCCAGGTCAGATCAGCCTAGAGGAGCTGATAGTGAGACCCACTGTGGCAGCTGCACCTCCACCTTATAACTGGGGAAACTGAGGCTTAGAGAGAAAAAGTGTCTTTTCCTGAGGTGGCAGATGCAGGGAAGTACACAAATCTTGCATATCCAGCTTAGTGCAGCTTTTCATACTTTAACTGGGTAACCACCATCCAGATCAGGAGACAGCATTTCCAGCACCCCAGAAAGTTTCCTCGTGTCCTCCCCAGTCATTGCCCACCCCTCATACCACGGTGACTGCTGTTCTGGTTTCTGTTGCCAGAAATGAGATTGTCCAACATAGCTGTTTTATTCTTGTTAATTCTTGGTTTATTTTTTCCTTCTCCCATCTTTCCCTGGTCATCCTACCTTCCGTCTCCTTGACAAATCTGCCTTTTCACTTTGTCTGTCCCCCCCCCCCCAATTACAGTTGGTATTCAATATTATTTTGTATTAGTTTCAGGTACACAGCACAGTGGTTAAACAATCATACGTTTCAGTGTTTCCCTCGATATTTCCAGCACCCACCTGGCACCATACATAGTTATTATAATATTACTGAGTATTGCTGTACGTTACAGCCCCGTGACTCTGTTACAAATACCAATTTGTATTTCTCAATCCCTGCAGCTTTTTCTTTCTTTTTTTTTTTTTTAATATATTTTATTGATTTTTTACAGAGAGGAAGGGAGAGAGATAGAGAGTTAGAAACATTGATGAGAGAGAAACATCAATCAGCTGCCTCCTGCACATCTCCCACTGGGGATGTGCCCGCAACCCAGGTACATGCCCTTGACTGGAATCGAACCTGGGACCTTTCAGTCCGCAGGCCGATGCTCTATCCACTGAGCCAAACCGGTTTTGGCCCCTGCAGCTTTTTCACTCAATTTCCCATCCTGGCAACCGTCAGTTTGTTCTCTGTATCTATGTGTCTGTTTCTGTTTTGTTTGTTTATATTGTTCTTTAGATTCCACATAGTACACATGAAATCATGTGGTATTTGTCTTTCTCTGACTAACTAATTTCACTGAGGATAATACCTTTTAGGTTCACCCAGGCTGTTACAAATGATAAAATTTCATTCTTTTTTATGGCTGAGTAATATTCCATTGTATATATGTACAACAGCTTTTTTATCTACTTGTCCATTGATGGGCAACATTGGGCTGCTTCCATTTCTTAGCTATTGTAAATAATGCTGCAATGAATATAAGGATCTGTATAGTCTTTCAAATTAGTGTTTTGGATTTCTTTGGATATATACCCAGAAGTGGAATCACTGGGTCAGTGCCTTTTCAGTTTTTGATACACCATCCCATTCTGCATCTTTTTTCTTTTTACTTGACAGTGCTTTAGAAGTACTTCCATGTATACATCTAATGCGTTGTCATTCTTTTATACAGCTATGTAGTATTTCACGGCATGTCTGTGCCATCATTTACTTACCCAGCTCCCTCTGAGGGACAGGTGGGTGTTAGAGATATTCAGGTCTGACTTTAAGCCCATGCCAGTCTGACTTGGAGCCCTGTTTCAGCCCTCTGCTGTTTGTCAACTGAGGAGCCAGATCAAGAGAGGAGCAAGGGCTCACCTGGGTCTCAGAACAGAGGCAGTGGCAGTCTGGGTGCAGAGGGTGCAGGATCTATTAACCCTCCCTGTACCTCTCCACAGGGGCAATCATGCCACGGTAGGTATTGGTGGGCAGCTTGAAGGACTGACCAAGGACCTACAGCAACTGCAGGAGAATGAGCGGCAGCTAGACCACCTGATCCACGTCTGTACCACTCAACTTCAGCTGCTCTCTGAGGATGCCGACAGCCAACGATATCCTTGACTGTGGAGGGCAGGCCCCACCCAAGTGAGACGAGAGAGACTATCCCAGGCCCTGGGTTCAGGAGAGAGTGAGCTCTGGCTTTACATGCAAGTCCTGGCTCAGCATTGACTCACTGACACTGAACAAGTTACTTAATCTGAGTCTCAGCTTCATCTCCAAGAGAGAAACAAGTCCAATTCCAGAATTGCTAGATTAAAACGAGAAAAGCTGGTACCAGCAACAACAAGCACTGAGCACAGCGATTCAGTACAAGGTTGTAGCATTAGGATTAGAGATACAAATTTTTATCATTCATAAAAATAGAAACTTTATTTTAAAATAAGCTTTTCTTTTTAAGTGAATACCCAAATTATGTTTATAAATTTTGGAGACAACCACTAATTGACAACATGATCATGAGTCAGAATAAATTCTTTTTTTAAAAACTATATTTTATTGATTTTTTTACAGAGAGGAAGTTAGAAACTTCCTTCAGATAAAGAGTTAGAAACATCGATGAGAGAGAAACATCGATCAGCTGCCTCCTGCACACTCCCTAGTGGGGATGTGCCCACAACCAAGGTACATGCCCTTCACCGGCATCGAACCTGGGACCCTTGAGTCCGCAGGCTGACGCTCTATCCACTGAGCCAAACCGGTTAGGGCTAGAATAAATTCTTAACACCAGAATGGAGTCATCACACAGATGTGGAAATTGAGGCTCAGGGCCATGAGATAGGCTTGAGCACAACTGTGTGTCAGGTGAAGGATGGAGAGGACAGGAGTGACTATGCAAGTGTGGGTGCTACCTTAGCTATCTGAGTGGGTGGCCCCCAGAGGTCAAAGGTTATATGGTTCTTGACTCCACCAACCCTGGCCTACGTGACTTGCCAAGATCTTCGTAGCATTGCAGACCCTGCAGAGCAGATGGTCATGGTGATCAAGGCCCCTCCTGAGACCCAGCTTCAAGCCATGGACTCCTCAGAGGTGAGATGTGGGATCCCAGCTCCGACCAGGGTAGGTTGGAGTGCCATAGTGGTCAACTGAGCCTCAGTTTAACCTGCCTGCCACCTCCACCAGGCCTTTCAGATCTCCCTTAAGAGCAAACAAGGCCCCATCGATGTTTTCCTGTGCCCTGAGGAGAGTGCAGGTGGGATCAGCCCTAGGAAGACCCCGTCCCAAGGGGCAGCTTCTGGGGAGGAGGACCGGGCAGCTGATCCTACCACTACAGTGCCACCACCATCATCTCTCCCCTCAACCCCTGACATGGATCCCAGCCAGCCCCTGCTCAGCCTGGAACAAGGTGGGTGA